CTCTCTCTCTCTCTCTCTCTCTCTCTCTCTCTCTCTCTCTCTCTCTCCCTCCCTCATTTTGATGTATTCTGCACAGCTCAACAGGACCCACAACTGCCTCATTATGAGCCTTGGAAATTTTTCTGCCTGGCAGCAACCCTGATTCTGTTTATGCTGGTTCTTATCCTTGGAGTGGTCCTGGTCAAAGGTGAGATGTCAAAGCCAGTGGGACTAAGTGACAGGAAAGAAATAGGCCCTCAGTCTGTAGTTCTTGGAGTTAGGATTAAAATAGAGCAATACAATATGGCTGGACTGTTGTAGAAGGAAATTTTTCTGGTGATCCTAGCTTGTAGTATTTAGGAATAGTAAAATTCACTGAGTAGTCTAAATGTCTACAGCATATCCATTTTGTCTCCCTATACCAGTTTTGTCTTTTCAATACCACCTGAAGGATGAACTAAAGCAACTGGACACCAAATGTGAGTGTTAGCTGAAATACTGTCCTGTGTATCTACGTGCTACACCTTTCATACCTTGAATATTTGACCAATTTTTCAACATGGTTCCATTAGTTTTGCAGGGACTGGCAGATGATAACCACAAATTGGATGCCATATGGGGAGAAATGTACCACCTACTGGAAGATCTGTGGACAGGGAATGGTAAAGGATCCAGAGGGAATGTTAAGTAGTGGGGAATAAAAGCGTGTATACTCACCCTTGCTCTGTTCTCTGGAAGGGGAGTATTGATTATCCCAGCACTTTTATGAGTATATGTATATAGACCCTGCCCCATTCTCCATGCAAACATCAAAGGTGTTATCATTTTCAGCACCATTGGCAGTGGCTGTACTTGCTGTGGGTAAATCTTGAGAGGCATTTTATGTAACACCCCATTCGTAGCTGAACTTAGCATAGAATTTGAGGCACCCTGCAGCATGATCTATCTTCTTCTGGTGTTTACCCATGGAATGGACACCCAGAAAGCAAATGTGTTCCTTTGCAAAGTGGCAAACTTGAATTAGGTGGGTCAAGTTCAAGTCATTTCACTTCACTGAGAGGTGTTCTGGGTTCAAATCACTTCACTCAATTCACAAATGGGTACATCTCCCAGTTTTAGTAGAGTTGACCGACCTGTTCCCCTTTACTTCAGGATCCTCCTGTGAGCCCTGCCCCAAGGACTGGTTGGCATTTGAAGGTTCCTGCTACAAGTTTTCTACAAATGACAGTGTCTGGCATAAAGCCCAGGATTGCTGTTCTAAGGAGAGAGCTCATCTGGTCATCATCAATAGCCAAGAAGAGCAGGTGGAGTAAGATGCTTTGTGAATCCTTGTTATCCTTGCAAATCATACTCTAGTCACTGTAGGATCCATGGCAGAGTCTTCATTCTGCCCTTCATGCTGTACATTCATTGTCTTTGCATGTACAGCCAGTCACCATTTACTCATGTCCATGTTCTGAGCATGTAGGGCTTCTACCTGGAATTCCCTTCTTTCTTTTCTTAAATTTTATTTATTCATTTTATTAATTT